CCCTCCCCCAACATGCTTTGCCAGGCGTTTATCTTCTAATTTCAACTCACATGCTAACGCGGAGCGTCACTCCACTTCTATCGACAAGCCCATGTCTAACCAAGCGGTCCATTCTAGTTCATGGAACTCCATTTGGAGCTCTCGATCCACCTTCACATTGGCATACCTCAATGTACGCACACAGTAACAGTTCGGTCAACAGGCAGCACTTGCCCGAACATTAGAGACCCTCTCGCTCGTAATCTGCTACTTATCAGAGACTCGCATGCAAGACTCGAGCTCACTGCTCACTTTGCCATCCCCTTTAGGTGACACCAGCAGTATTTTCTCATTGCGCCTATACGGTAACGACGCAGCTTCGAGCACCGGCCAAGCCGATGTTGGTATTGACTTGAGACCCATGGCTGAAGCTGCTTTGGTTGATTGGATTCCAAGCAGTAGCCGGTTGTGTGCGGTCCGATTGGCTGGCTCAGTCAAAGCTTCGAAGTCGCGCGGAAATAACAGGTGTCTATTAATTATCGCTGCCTACACGCCCACAAACTGTAGCGATGATTCGGTAAAAAATAACTTCTATCTCCAACTGACCTAGCTCCTACGCCACAAAAGAAGCTCGGACACTGTTGTGCTGGTGGGGGATGTGAACGGAGAAGTTAGAAAATTGTTCACTGATGAAATGCATCTGGAGGGTCAACACGATGTAGGCTCCCGTAATGATAAGGGTGAGCAGTTATTTCATTTGTGTGAAGATGCCCGCTTATTTCTTGCAAACGCTAACTTCCGACACAGCACTCGACGGAGGGTGACTTGGTGCCCACCAGCCTCGAACCAGCCTTGGACGCAAATCGATCACATTGCAATCAGTTACCGCTGAAGAGGTTGCATCCAGAACTGTCGCTCGATTTGCAGCACATGTGTGGACATCGATCACGCACTTGTATGTGCTGACATGCGAATGCGTTTTGGCGGACGCGTACGACGACGCTGTGAGCGCATTGACATCAGCCAACTGACAAAGCCAGCTGTTCTGAATGTTTATCAAAGTACGCTGTCATGTGAGTTGAGTAAGCGCTCACTGGAGACAATTGAAAAGTCACTGGTCACATGTTCAACAGACTTTACTAGCAGCAGGCAAATCCTCATGTACTGATGAGTAGTGAGGATTTTTTGGTATAATTCAGGTAATTCATCATCACCACTTCCAATCAGCAGGCTTACGCTAGTCTGGAAAAGCACCAGACGCCGGCGTTTCGACCATCTGGGTCTCGTCAGTTGTGCGCCTCATAGCGGAACCTTGCCGGATTCCGCCCCCATGATTTCAGGATGCCAGCAGCTAGTGCCACTTCGCCATGAGTGACAGCCGTAGACCTGCGTGATTGACAGTTGGACTGTCCTTTTGGATCCACCCTCTCGCTCAGAAGTCAAACGTGAGATCGGACTGTTGAAGTTGAACAAAGACGCGCGACCAGATGATCTTCCTCCAGCCCTCTTCACATTCGGAGGCTCTGCTCTTGTTGATGATTTACATGAAATACTAGTGCAGCTGCGGGAGCAGGAGACTGTCCAACCGACTGGAGACGCTCCGTTATTGTTCCCATCTTCAAAGGCGGCTCGCGTTCGGAATGCGGTAACCATAGAGGAATCAGTCTGATCTCCATCCCCTCCAAAATCCTTCACAGACTGACTGGCGCTCGTGAAAGCCAGATTCGTGAAGAGCAAGCCGGGTTTCGTCGGGGTCGTGGCTGCATCGACCACATCTTCACCTTGCGTCAGTTGTTGGAGCACCGTCACACATATTGGCGGCCCACCGTACTCGTGTTTCTCGACATCAAAGGTGCCTTCGAATCGGTTGAACGATGTGCACGTTGGAATTGTCAACTCAAGAAAGGTGTGCCTGAGAAATATGTAAATATCATCCGAGCATTATACGCGCATAGCACGGGCAGAGTGACGGCTTACGGCAAGCTGTCGCCACCCTTCAATATCTCCAGCGGTGTGAGACAAAGATGCCCGCTGTCACCTATCCTATTCAACTTCGCTATTGACGAAGTCATGGAGATCGCATTTACAGGACATGACTTGGAAGGTGTGAAGCTACTCTCAGGAGAACGACTTCTTGACTTAGAGTATGCAGACGACATTGCCCTCATCTGTGACAGCTCCCAGACGTGCGAAGCCTCACTGGACAGATGAGCACTGGCTGTCAGCCGCTTCGGACTTTGCTTTGCACCATGGAAGTGCAAAGCGTTCCTCAAAGATTGGTAGGGATCGCATCCTGCGATGACCCTAGGTGGAGATCTGCTAGAAGTAGTTCAGATATTTAACTACTTAGGAATTTTTATCAGCGCCCGTGGGATTGAAGATGAGATCCCGAACCGTATAACAGAAGCTCGAAGTGCTTTTGCTAATCTCCACCACCTATGGCGGCGGCGCGACATCACCCTCGCTCCGAAGGGTAGAGTGTACAATGCAGCGGTACATTCGACCTTACTGTACGGTTGCGAAACCTGGCCCCTAAGATCGGCGGACATAAAGAAGCTAGTTACGTTCGACCATCGGTGCCTTCGCAGTTTGGCTCACACCTAGTGGGAACACCGCGTGACTAACGAACGTGTTCGACGCCTTGTTTACAGCACAGAAAAAGGAACTGAACCGCTCAGCACTGTCATTTCACGCACCGGGCTCCGATGGCTGGGCCACGTGTTGCGCATGCCAGCCCACCGACTCCCGCTACGTGCATTGTTTGTTCACTGGAGGTGTGGAAGGAAGAAAAGGAGAGGTGGCCAAGCGATGACTTGGTCCAGAGGAATGTAGGCCCTCACTTCGGAGCTGGCCTCGGTTGGAGCGTCACGGCACTCTGGTTTGGGTCAAAACGACAATGAAAACGTTTGGCTAGATACATTTGCTGACATGGCAAGGAGCCGACCTCAGTGGCGTTCCTGCTGTGAGTTTCTTTGTCCCTCCCCATCTCATTTAGGATCCCCCTCCAACGACGATCTCATTTCGTAGCGTAATATAATTTGACCTACTAGCCAGCTGGTAGCTTACCGGAACGATGCCCATCCGTTGCTGGTAGCTCAGCTGGCGTGCCACTGTTGTATTTATTTTCCTTTTCCTTTATGTATTGCGGCACAGTAATTGAGGTTTTTCCCACCTCTAGCTAACCTGTTTAAAAAAATCATCCATCGATGATTTGCTTCCGTGCAACTCCGCTGACCGCATCTGGTTTGTTAGATGGAGTTACAGTACGGTAAAATGAAAAAGCGACAGCAAGTCGACTGGGAGCTTCGCATGCGTTGGCGCATAGTATTAAGACGAACGGAAATTTTCGTTTAGAATGGTGCTATTAGGCAGTCGATGATACCATCAGGTCCTCTTTGTTGCTCCTGTCCACATATCCCCAGTCCAAATGATAAAGGGTTACATTAAGGGGGAAACTATCGTGGGTCTCAGTGCCCTAGAATTTGTTGGGAAAGCGTTGACCACAAGAAAGTATCACTGAAGTATAGGGAGGGAGAGCGTCATGTCAACACAATAAGCTTTGAAAGTCAAAATAAAGACGATCCAAATGAATTAATCGGTTGACAAATAATCACGAAAGCGAATGGCTTCCCGTGACTAGACAGTGAAATCCAATGAAATATGGACCTATTAAAATTGACGGTGACCGAACCCTATGGTTGGTTGGCGCGCCTATTTTCGGTGTGGTCCAGCTGGCACGCTCACGTTCAGCAGCTGATTGTGAGAAAAGAACGGATGTAACTTAGATTGAAGTGGATGCGACGGACTTCGCTTTAAATGCGGCAACACAAGGATGAGGAGAGATGAGCTGCGGGAGGACTTAGTTCCGTTTGGGAAACAAAGTGAACCATTTTCAGAATACGCAGTTGCAAAACGTGAGTTTGGACTGCGAGCTGCAAGCCCACATTCTATACGAAACTAAGTTCAGCCATTCCAAACGCTGCACTGGAAGTGAAAACATTTGCAATGGTGCCTGATAACAAAGGTACACACTGCGGCAAGCCCGGCATTGTTTGAAGGCTTCAGTTAAATGTAGCCCAAGATTGTAGTTAAACACGGAAAGTGGTGGTTTACCAATATATGAGTTTAAACTTTGACCACAAATTAGCCTTCAGGAAACATCCCTGGTCAAGAGGTCCAATAATGATGCCGGGAAAACGTCCAACAGCTTTTATCTTAGACTAAGTTCAAGAAAGATCAAAGTGACCAAGTTTTGGATTCAAAGTAAGTCGTCACATCCATTGTGATTGTGAATGACAATTCAATTAGAAGCTCACCCAACGAAATATAGCAAGCGGATTTTCTTGAACACACCATGACATCAGGCGAATGTAAATCAATACCGAAACAACTAGATAAAGTCGTGCCACAAGAAGACGATGACATCCAGTTCAGTGATGGGATGTGTGCGAAAAAACAGCCTTACCGGAGAAAAACGTGCCTCCTAAGCTAAGATTCCAAGTCGCAGGCAGTTTCAATGACTGTCAAATAACTGAGATAAGTTTGGGTGAGGCTGGGAACAAACCCTCAACGAATCAAGCGATGTGATTTTAATGCGACTGTGGGAAATTGAAAAGAAGAGCCACTGTTAGAGTTGGTGGCCTGATCGGTCTGCAAACAATCATTCACCTGTAAAGTATGCTAGTGATAAGAAATGTGGTGACACGTGACTAGCAATAGCACCCAAATGTTGTGTGAAGGAATGAAGGTGAAACGGTCTACCAGCATTCAATAATGATGCCATGCAGGAAAATGTGGCATGTCCCGACAAGATGGACGCAAAGAACATCAAATCGCACAGGAAGATAGCTTTTCTTCATCAAGTTAATTTCGCAGCATAAGAACATGGACACAACAACAATACATAGAAAGAAATCCGGCCAAATACAGGCTAATATAAAGCATACATTGGATTAGTAAGATGAGCAATGCAGGATAAAGCAAAGTATAGAAGCGAAAAGCCTCACATAAAATCAACTGACCTATAGTGTAGGGCTCGTAATCCAAAGTTTCTGACCCATTGTTTTCCAAAGTCTTCAGCGTCCACCATACGTTCTGACCTGCTGAAGTGAAAGCAGAAAGCATAGCATGGAAATAGTTGGAAGGATTGAAATTGCATTAGGTTAGAGCAATGACAAGAAACAAAAGAGGATTCATACGAACAGGCAGTTAGCTCGCGGATAAAGGGGTCAAAAAGGGGTCAATTGCTGTAGTTAAGCAGACACCGATGACAGTGGCATGGTGGTGAGAAATGCTAACATTATTGAAGTATCAAATAAACTATGCGAGCTTGTACATCGAGGAGAAATCGAATACAGAATATGGTTAAACGAACGAGAATTACTGGACTGGACAAAGCAGATTGCATTTGGTAAAATTGGGTAGCTGCAGTGAAGATATTTCGATCAGGAATATGGTGTCAGAAAGTCAATTCGGAAAGTTCGAGGAAATCTGTTGTAGCAGCTCTCATTCAACACGATCTAGATCAAAATCATTCGCAGATGAGTTACACTTACCTTGAGAATCATCCTGCTCAGCCGGAAAGGCATTGGAAGTGGTGAACGTACAGTTCGACGCCTGAATAAGAGTGAAAATGGTGGGATATATAAGTATACATGGTTGTTGAAACAGCTTGCGTGTGCTTGAGCATGAATCAAAGGCAATTAGAGGGCGCGCGTGCGACTAAATGGAGCCCACACGGAAACGCATAAAGACAAAGAAATCAAAGCGCAAACTCAGACAATGGATGGGCGCAACCGTCCATGCCTCAGCCCCGATTCGAGCAAGGTACATCGCTCGGCTAATAATTATGAATCGATGCTGAAAAACAAGACCAACTTAGGTCTTCAGCCGTCCGAACAGGCTGATTAACCAGGTCACTTAAATATGTATGTCCCAAGCGAGTGGCCGACGCATTATGACTTCCAGAAACAGGGCTAGAAATGCCAGATCCCAATGCCGAACGGCACTAAAAATTCACCTAACAATGGGGATTCGATAGGTGGTGCTTCTATAGTGGCAAGAAATTGGTTGGCAGAGAGGGTCAATGTCCCAGTCTGAAACCAGCTATGAGCATACGTGACATCTGGAAAAGCGTCGAACCAAGTTTGGAGAAACACATGTGAGCCGAAAGAAAGAATAACCTTAAAGCAGTAGTCTCAGCATCAGTTTATTTTAGTTTGATGATTAAGCTACCAGAATTTCGCACAACACTACTTTCGGTGGCAAAGATCCTTTGAACAAACAAAGGAACCGTAGTTACGTAGACGAAAGTGTTCACACACCTAAATCCGATGGCAATGAAGTCGGCAAGTTGACCAAGAAGCTAAGATAGTTAGGTATGTTAAAACGCTTGCCGAAATCACACAATGAATTTAGCATCGTATACTTGGGCGCGGTGCCCTATACTGTGACTGGTGCAAAAAACTTGTCAGACGACAGAAAACTCAACTGAGTCCAGAGCAACGCTGAATCAAAGGTCAGTTCCGGGTATTCGCCTACACTAATATGACTAACTATATGAGTGGATCAAAATCTCCATCTGTGGAAACGAGTAGTTAGTAAAAAGTGCAAAAGTGGACGGTCTTGCAAGAATTCCACCTCAAGATCGGCACCAGAAGGTTGAATTTCTATCATGGAAAACAAAAGAGAGAAAACCTATGATTTAAACAAAAACAAATGAGATATTTTATTTACAGTTCGCAAATAAAGTTTTAAATCTCGACAACACGAGGCACGCCTTTACAGGCATGATCATGTTATAATAACAAAGTGGGAACAGCCACCACACATGCAGGAAAGCGCTTTCCTGGATGTGTGGTGGCTGTATGCCTATGTCTAACCGGGACGAATCTATACAAAAACCTAACAAATCCCCCTACCACTTACAAAGTGGGAACAAAAAGCTACAAGAATACAACATGCTTGTCATAACAGTAAAGGTGTGTGTGTAACTGTGCACAGGTGTAGCCTTGTAGCCTGTGTTTGTAAGTGTGCTGTTGTATTTGTGACTGTTTGACAATGTCAGCTGTGAAAGAAGTGACGACTGATGTCCGTGGATTATATGTTGTTATCCAGATATCTACGGGGCAGTGACTTTAGTTTGTAGCGAGTCACATTCGCCACGGCACAGTTTTGACAAACGGACATCTGTGGTTTTTCATAGGGAGAACGCTTGCCAGGCGATAACCCACCACATCGTGAAAAACGGCCGCCGAACTGTTTGCAGGAACGGGTTAATCCGAACTACCCAGCTGGAACCACGTAACTTGTGGACCCGCAGAGGAATCATAGGACACTTGTTCTGCACAATCAACACGCTTCCGAACTGGCGCAAAATCGGATGCGTAAGACAAAGAAGGGTGCGAATGGGAGCTAAGGTCGTTTCTAAATCGACCCACCACCTTTGCAGTGGCCGAAAGTGTCCTTCGCATTAGAATAGCATGGCAGAGTCAAGCGAGATCAAGAGCACTTCCAGATCCGGCCGGAGTGAGAACGCTACTTTACTCGCTCCTGCCTTGATGATAGCGGAAGGACTGTGGACCCTCCGCCTTACAACGGAGCGTTTCTCACTAATTGGCTAACATATACTGAATGTTGGCATGCATCCTCAGCGCATGATATGTCCACCCCAACCGGATTCCACAGTGGCAATGTGCTAATCACCAGTCGCATGTCACACAGTGCAGTCCATCAATACCAGCAACGATTAGCCACCTCTTTGTGGCAATAGCTGATGTAGTGGCACAGGTTACTTCGAAAGGGTACAGTAAAAGTCCACGAAAAAAAATCTATCAAACAATGATTAGTCAGACATGTATAGCAACCTCGCGTAACTACAGGGTATGCGAAAATTGTGGCTTGGACGAAAGTCCAAATGGAAGAGAATGTGATCGGTTAATCCCAAGATAGACATTAGACGAGATCAAGTACGAACGGTGGGGGAATGTGAGAAGAAACAAAGAAAAACAAAAAAGAGTATAGCGGTGATATAGATAAACCCTACACAAGGTAGGACAAGTAAAAACAAATTAGATCTTACCGGTTTACGCGAAAGAGGGAGTTTTTGGGGAGATTCGTCCGAATGGAAGAGGCTTTGATCAGAACCCCCCTCAGAGAACTCTGGGGGGTCGCAAATGTCTGCGGTCACTTCGGCCATCTTGCTGGCCAGAACGTGAGCAGTTTCCAGCTCCAGCCGGCGAATCTCCTCGATTGTCAGACCATACCACTCATCTTGCCACGTCCAAACTTGACGATGAGCTCGCACCATGGTCTTTCGCAAGGCTGACGGCAGACATGAAACAAGGTAGATTGTTCAGGAAGTCGAAAATGGTTTATCCGAAGAGCACACCAAAAACAAAACAGTTCATGGAGCAAACAAAATGTAGGATGCCGAGTTTGGTAGTGTGCGCTGAGGCTTCGGATGAAGGCTACAAACTTTCAAAATACTGAGGAAGCAATCCCCAGTAATCTTTAGAATACGGCACAAGGGTAGCAACAGCATGTTTTGAGCGAATGCATCGCTGACATGCAACCGCAACCTGTTGTATGCAGAATGGAATAATACCAAGGCGTCTTAACTAATATAGCGGCGAAGATATGAATCCAAAGAGTAAGGACTGGAAATGATTGGACGAACCACTACACAGTGGAAACCCTTATGCTACAAAGATGCGACGATGTCTACAGACAGTCGGGTATCGGATGCAGTGGAAACGAATCAGATGGACGGGTACAGCGTGACCCAGATGCAAATTGGACATAAACGGATGACACGGCAGAGTGGATATGAAACAAGAGTGGGTGCAAAACGTCTTGAAGACGTGCACTTATGACAATGGCGGACAAAATACACAGCACCCTACCGCTATCGTGGATAAACTGCTCCACACGTTTTTGCATGCCCCAGTAACGGAATTCGACTCGACACAATTTGTATGCGCACATGATGCGTTTCGGTAGAGGGTCCAAAGGGCCTGTAGCCATTCGGTTATCCGGCGTACGGGTGGGTGGGTTCGAATGGCACTCGTGAGTGGAGAATTGTGCTCGGGAATATACGTCGCGCCAGTCAGAAGAGAGGGGACCACGACCTGTGGCGTGAGAAACATACAGGGTAGGGTCTTCGTCTGATTTATATTCAGCTCGAGGCACGACATCTTGCACGATGTCAATGAAATCTGAAGAAGAAAATATAATAACAGATTTGCGAAAATTGGTAGTGATGGAAAAACAGAGAAAAAACATGGCAAAGCCATAATTATAATAAATGAAAAAGGGGGAGATTTGTGGACAAAAGTATACGGTAGAGTTAAGTGAATTCAAAACAGCTTGATCGAGGGAGTTAATTCCGATGCACTTTCATGTTCGATGATCAACATCAGCTCAAAAGAACTGTATCTATATTCAATAGGTTGTCGCACTCACCAAAAAATAGCCAATTGCACTGAACCCATTGCATCAGCACTAACAAAATGGTGGTACAGTGTGGAAGCTGTAGGATATCGAAATGTAACAACACTGAATAGAGAACCGGGAGAATCGATTGGAAAACATATGGGGACAAAAAGGAGTAACTAATAATGAAAGTAGGAACGAGGAAGTTAATCCGATATACATATGCCCAACTGAAGGAAAAGTGATATCCAGCGAAGACTGTATACACACCTGAAGCACAGGACGTAGAGGATAAGAGATAGTGCGACCTTTTGAAGAAACTAACCACGAAACCCGATCAAATCGACTAGTTGTGGTGCTAGCAACAGATGAGTCATATCTAGCAAACATGAACTGATGTGACAACCTAACGATGTCTGGGTCCACATTACCAGCTTCACAAGAAACAGTACACAGTTTCCTCAAAAGCAGACTAATTGCTAGTGGGAAAGTCTTGAGGGAGGATCAAACAGAAACTTCCATCAAATAAAATATACATATAAACGATTATGCCTACGATGAACGATCCTGAAAAAAGGAGTTTGTGACCAAGGTGAAGACGCAACATATTCAAAAAATGCTGAGTTGGCAAGCTGCTTAGTTAAGGAGAAGGATCATGAAAACAGATACAAACCAACTAGCCGAGCTTCTTTTTCTTCTTTTGATAAGTGGAAAACATCGTCTTGACAACCATTGTCATCGAAGTAGTATGTCTCGATGTCTAGAGTAAGTTTGTCGACAAAGGGTACCCTGTAGACAGTTCGGGTGTAGGGGTATGCGTTCCAAGCCTCCTCCTCCACCCTCAAGGCGGATGGGGGTAGAATGCCTCGAAGCCAGGCTGGAAAAGGAAATATAAGCAACGGTCGTCAAATTCATCATTGTTGGTAGTGTTAACAACCAGATCGTGACGATGAAGCATAACAGTAACTGAGTAAATAACTGCAGATTCCAAAGCACTAAATAATAAGAACAGGCGATTGGCGATCGGAAGAGGAAAATAAATGTTTAACCTTTCAAGTAGATGAGGGCAACCTCATTTAAGGAAGTGCATGCGGAATGAGAAACCCTGTGACCATAATGATTAGGAAAAAGAATGAAGCCAAGTAGAATGCTTATAAGTTGTGTAAGAAGAAAAGTAAATCGGCTATGAGACTAGGTCGAGGCATAACCTAGAAGGTGGAGGTGATGCGAGATCAGTCGACTGGTCCGCACGCTGAAGCCAACGGTAGAAAATGCTGGCGTCGAAACACAATTGAAGGTTAGGGAATTTCGGTAGAATGAGATAATAATTTCAGATCGTATTTCAAGATCGGCTTTAGTTCATGACAATAATGATTAAATGACGCTCAACATCATTTATGCTGCACCGTCAGCAGTGGAAATCATCAAAGTGCAGCCAAAACACAACGCTAAGACTTAACGGCTCATTGCAAAAATAAGTGACTCGGATCAATCGAACGTGGTGACTGATGTGAACGTCGTATCCGGCCCGACTGTGCAAAGCATGTCTACAGCCTCCGATGTGCATAAATGTAAGTGGCAAAGGAATTGATTCCCAGTAGAAACGTGGTAGTCGCCGTTAATGTGAGGTAATAAACACCGATGTCTAATGGGACGATAAGCTTGGATGCAAGAACTTTGATTAAGAGAGGATAATACAAAACATGTTGGCGAAGATTGGGTTGATGGATTGTGTGTAGACTGTACGATACGTACGACGCGCTGCACTGTCAACCGCCACTGGCTAGTCGAGTAACGACTATTCAAAACAATGAGGACCCGGTCTAGTCATGGCACGTTGCATAACCAGATAACCCAAACGTTTGACTCTGCAAGACCCCATCACTCGAGTGTCGCAGTCCTCCCGGAATAGAGACAGGCAACGCAAATGTTCATAATAAAGAAAAAAGAATGCAGGCTGCTTCCTTTGAAAGAAATAAGATGAAACGAGATGCACGTATACACCACAGAGGTTGGGCTGGATTGCGAAGTGCACATCTGAAGAGGAAGGGGCTTGCACAATCCGTACTGTCCAAACTCGCAGGTGGTGAAAACAGGTGACGAAGCTGTGCTACGATGGTGACGTCCTTACCAGCCGGAGAATAATCACGGGCTTGGCAAACGTTCGTAAGTGGTATGAAGTGACAATTCTCAAGCTGAAACGCGGCTTCCTCCACCTCAAAACCTATAAGATTATCGCACTATGTGAAATCAGCACGTATTAGCACATATGGTTAAGTAAAAGAAAATTAAATATGTTGCCGAACGGGGGGCCCAAATATCGTAGTTTACAAGCACAATGAATGGGCTAAAGAGCTACAAGCGGTCCTTTCATTAAAGTCTAGTACTCCTTGGGTAAGTGGTGCTTCCTCCAAGCGCCAATGTTGAAGATGGTATAAGCTGAAAACCTTAAAGTACGTAAAAGATTTGCATAGCAAAATAGTGAATGGACCGTGAAATAACGTGTGATTACTTTCATGTCTCTAACATAATGGAGTGGAAACAGCCCGGTCGAATACAGTTGTCCAGTCTGAACGCTGTCCAAGCAGTTTACCAGTGCAACAAAACGCTTCGAGCTGATGAGAAGCAAGCACAAAACACATGATTAAAGGGCACCATTGAAAATATTAATGCAACCATAGGCAGTAGCGTGACCGCAGAGAAAAGATAATCTCTACAAAGGATAGGTTTAGAGCCGTGCTTTATTCGCCCCATTTCGCAATCACTTGTCTATGGCCGGTGAGGAATTCGTCCTGGTGGCCGATATGAATCAAGCTAACCGGAGCATACCAAACTGATAATAGATCAGAAGGGTGTGAGCCAGATAAGAGACGAATGGCTAAGAGCTACATCTCACAAACTTGTAGATGGGGAATATCACTAGGAATCTTGTAGAGATGTGATGCAAGAATCCAACTTGTGTGAACAGATCGAATAAAAAAACCGGACAAGGTGACTAAACGAAATTGAACCGAATACACTAGATTGCTGGGTACATCTATGGTAAGAAACGGTCCACGCGTCTCGACTGACCAGCAGATAACATTTGCTAACGGCAAGAATTTTTTTGTTTGTAAGAACGAAACAAAGATTGGGCCGTCGTTTGTTTTAGTGCACGAAGCAGCGTCGTTAGTACCGAATGAAGCGTAACATTCTATCTAGGCCTTGCAGCAGTCCGTTGCAACAGACCGTTTCGTTAACTTACCTTTGCTGAAGAAATTGCTTGCTCCTGAAGGATCGTCAGCTGCGACGTCATTCAGGCGAAAAAAAAGATGGGATAGGTCGGCAAGATTGGAGGTACACGGTTACATGAATGTTGCGAATAACTAAAGCTGAGGAGGAACTCATGAGCAGAAATGGAACAGGAGGTATAGTCACTCAAGAACCAAAAAGGAAAACTTAAGGATTCAGGGGTTATATCAAGGACTTTATTCTGCCACCTACACCGGGAGTGATCGAAACAGAGAAAGCAGTCCATGTATAAGAGAAATTGCATGGTGAACCTGACTCGGAATGTAAATCTGGTACCCCACTCTTCCAGAATGATCTTGGTTGTAGTGGATCCAGTAAACATACTGTGGATGTTGCCTCCAACTGCTGAATACCTCATCCCTGGGCCAAAGCTAAGGAAGCAGCAGCTGAAATTTAAAGCTGCACAGTAACATCGGAATATGAGCAAGAATACTGTACAAAGTACCTGTCACCGGTTAATACTCTAATCGTTCCTTAAGTTCTTATGTGGAATTCAAAAACGTCTGACTCAAAGTATCACGGGGTTCAAAAGCATGAGATCTCATGGTCGAGGTGCAATCGTTCCCTGAATCGAATGGTCATGAAATGCAAATCCAACAAAATTTTGAACTGTTGCACAGATTTGGCCTCCACGACATGCTATGGCACACTGTTCCAAACATTGACCGCTCGCTGATCAATACACTGGGGATGATGAATTCGCTTCAGCTCTGGCACTATGAGCGCGTACCGTTGTCTGCGTATGCGACAGGGTTTTCTCAAATATAGCGGTGGCCTCAGCATGGGAATGTCACCTAGATGTAGAATGCGGTAGGTCATTATGAGGTCCACACGCACCCTAAGACAAGACAATGTGTACAATCCCAGGCTCTCGCAACTGTCTTCGTACGGTAAACCACGTAAACCGGGAATGGGTCTGGCAGCGACTTATCGGACGTATTCGATGTTCTGCGGCTCACCTTGGGTGATCGGGTCACAGGAGAAGAGGCGAGTGTCAACCTTTTTAGACCAGATGCAGAAGTTACGGTTGAGCGCCTAAAGTATGCGCTGTCGCCTATTGGTGTTGTCTACAAACTTCGTAGCACAGCATGAGATTACACCTAGGTACTTCACGGAATATGCGGGATGTAGCAGGTGGTCATCAGCGGTATAGGTTCGTGGATCATGAATACCGACCTGAATGGAATGACCGGGAGGCGGACTTCTGAAGACCACATGGATATGTGGTTGAGCTATTGCCACAGTTGTCAGGGGGTGTTAATCACTCTCTACATCTTTATGTCTTCTACAAACACGGCACAAGGTGACAGAAGAAGCTGAGGTAGATCGTTAATATGGGTCAGGAGCAATGTATAATCCAACACCGTGCCTTGGAGCAAGTCAGTAGTAGAAGGATACGAGGCAAGATACTGGTCGATAGGGACTTAAGAAGTTGTGGGGGCAACTCGTTAAACCAAGCAGGCTTCGTGCCCTCAGATTTGATGAAAAGATGATGCAGATCGTCGGTAAACGCGGTTCACGTCGAACTCGGCGCAAACATGGTCATTTGCATATACAGAAGTGAGGTGCGCTGCAAAATGAACACACGCGCAGTGCTAGAGGTTAGCGAGCTCACTATCACTGGTCGGCCATCTGCCGACTTCAGGCAGTTGCAAGCTGTTTTTTGATACGCCGGTGCTTGCTTGCTTTTGCACAGTTGCAAACATTCCGCTGCTACTTATGCGACTCGCAGTCGCTGGAGAGGAGAAATTTGCCCCACAGTCTGCGCCGCCGCTGAACCATTTTACCAGTGTGGCTTGATTGGTCCATATTTCTGACACTTCATTTGTACAAACCGAGAACATAGCCATGTCATTATTTATAACTGTTCAACAGTCTTCCACAGATGTAGCCTGCGGCGTATACCAATTCAATTAGCTCGCAGCTCGAATTAGACCGTCGAATTCAGTTTTCTAATATTTTTCGCTGGCTCAAACGGACGGAAATATGGAAAGGCAATGCTCTGTCGGCAACCACGACCGCGTGGTCGCTTGTTCCCAGGGTCTCCAGGATCCGAATGCCATGTAGTTAGCAATCAGATCCAAGCACGACGGGATTGAGAGCGGAATTATATGCGTCAGCTGCCATATGTGCCGCGCTGCTCCACTTTCAAATACCAAGTCTACGAACTTTGCTTCGACCTCACAATGTCAAGGCCATGTCAAGGCATGAGTTGGACTGCAGACCAGCATAATAAAAGCTGAAGGAAACTGATTCATGCGGCAACCAATCAACCCAACGGCTGAAGGGACTGCGATAAAATGCCTCCACGATCAGATCTCCGTAACTGAGGTGGATCGAACACCCCTGCTGCTCAAATAGGTCATCTTCACTTCAGTAGGCGCTCACAAATTTCCCACACAGAACTCGGATGTTGAGCAAGATACCACCAAGGGAATTTGGTAGTCTATCGTAGCGGAAGCACGAGTAGACACAGATCGATTTCCGGGGGCGATGACATCAGAGTTAAACGATATCTCTATGACTCCAACAACATCTGGTCGGTCAGATGCTTCGACTGAGTTATTCGCGCTTGTTCATCAGAGT